AGCGCTCTACCACTGAGCCATCTTCCCAGCCCAAATTTTTAATTTTTATATGTGGAATTTCTTCCTATTTACTACGGGGAAAGCTCAAGTGGCATCTTTTTTGTGCTGTTAAATATATATTATATACTTTGGAAGAAGAAGAAAAAAAAAGAAATGGGGCAAAGAAATGGGAAGTATAAAGAAGAATCCAGTGGGATTTTCAGAACTTTTCAGAACACGACAATTGGAATAAAAATCTCTCTGGATGAAATCAGTAGCTACCCAGTGTGACAGAGAGACAAAAGAAAAGGACAGGGCAGAGCTGGGCACCAGGGGTTCACAGCATTAATCCCAGCTACTCAGGCTGAGATTTGATGACTGCTATTTGAGCCAGTCAACAGGAAAGTTCCTGAGACTCTTATCTTCTCCAACTAAGCACCAGAAAATCTGGAAAGCAGAGCTGTGGCTCACCATACAGCACTAGCCTTGAGCAAGAAAGCTCAAGAACAGTGCCTAGGCGCTGAGTTCAAAAGGACTGGCAAAAAAGAAATAAAAATAGGCTGGGTCTGGTGGCCATGTCTATAAGCCCAGCTACTAAGAAGGATCAGGAGGATTATGTTTGAAGCTAGCCTGGGCAAATTTAGCAAGATTCCATCTCGATAAGCCAGGCTCTGTGGTACATACTTGTACTCCCAGCCACATAAGAGACTATAGGTTCATTTGTCTCTGAAGCTGGGCTGGGCAAACTATAAGACCTTATCTCAGAGTTGGGAAAGTGACTCAGTAGTAGAGTGCTTGTCTTGCATGTATGGGGCCCTGGGTTCGAGTTCTCAGCACCACATAAGCAGAAAAAGCCAAAATAGTGCTGTGGCTCAAGTGGTAGAGCGCTAGCCTTGAGCTGAAGAACTAAGGGACAGCGCCCACGCCCAGAGTTCAGTCCCCACTACCAACCAAAAAAGAAAAAAAAAAAGACCTTATCTGAAAAAGTTAAAGCAGAAAAAGTTCTGGGGTGATTCAAGTGACAGAGCGCCTGCACAAGGCCCCACAAGTCAATTAGAGCAATGCAGCGTAAGTTATTTAAAACTTATGAATTATTTGTCTGTGGAGTTTCCTATTTGAAATTGGAGGGTGAGAGCCCACTGAAAAGTTTTGACTACCTGAAACTTTAGAAAGTGAAAGCTGGGCCAGGAGCCAGTGACTCACACCTGTAATCCTAGCTACTCAGGAGGCTGAGATCTGAGGATCGCAGTTCAAAGCCAGCCCAGGCAGGAAAGTCTGAGACTCTTATCTCCAATAAACCACTGAGAAAACTGGAAGTGGCGCTGTGGCTCAAGTGGTAGAATGCTAGCCTTGAGCTGAAGATCTGAGGGACAGTGCCCAGGCCCAGAGTTCAAGACCCACAACCAACAACAAAAAAAGAAGAAAAAAAAAAAGGAAGTGAAAGCTGGGATTTGCAAGAGGACTGCGGTACAAACAGTCTTGCAGCAGGCAGGACAGGGAGGCAGCCTGCAAGCCAGAGGCTGGAGGAGGAACAGTGCTGCAAGGTGCACTGGGCGGTGCTGAAGGAGGCCCTCGTCCTGAGGGGAATGGCACCAGAGGGATCCTGGAACATGAGGGATGCCTGGCTGACATGTTAGACTGAGGCACACAGGACAGCTCTGCGTGCGTGTGTGTGTGCGTGCGTGTGTGTCTAGAGCCACCACGTGCCAGTTCCAGGCGGACTGTAGACACAGCATGTACAGCCATGCTATGTGCTACAAAAAGACTGAACATGATGACCAGGATGTGGCTCAAGGAACAGTGCTTGCCCCCATGTTCCAACCTCAGGATCGTGTAGACACTGAGGCCACACTTCCAGTGCAAAGTAATCAACAAGTTATGACTTAAGGGATGGAAGCACTTCCAAAATGGCTCCAGCAGACACCCTAAAAATCTCTACAGAAGCAACTAGACTGCTCATCACCTTTGAAATAGTTAAAAAAAAAAAAAACAGGTACACAAGAGAAAAAAATCTAAAAAACAAACAAAAAGCAAGTAGAACATTGAGAAAAGTTGGAAAAATACCAGCTTTTCCAGGTCAGGCACAGTAGCTCATGCCTGTAATCCCAGCTAATAGGGCGCTGGTAATAAGGACAACTGCAGTTTAAGGCCAGCTTGGACAAGAGTTAGCAACACCCATGTCAACAAATAAGCTAGGTGTCAGGACCTGCACGTGAGGACTCTGTGGCAGCAGCTACATGGGAGGCTGCAAAAACCTGAGACTTGATCTAAAAAAAAAACCCTGAAAGCAAAAGAGGTGTGGTTCAAGTGGTACAGAGTACCGTACAGCCAGCGCAAGCCCTAAGTTCTAATTCCAGTACTGCCCTCTGCCTCCACCCAAAAGACCTATCCAAAACTGTGGAAAGGCTTATTGGACTAGATAAGAATGCCAGAATCTTGGTGGCTCACACCTGCAATCCCAGCTACTCAGAAGGCTGAGATCTAAGGACTGTGATTCAAAGCCAGCCTCGCAGGAAAGGCCATCAGACTCTTATCTCCAATTAGCCACCAAAATCCAGAAGTGGCGCTTTGGCTCAAGTGGTAAAGCGCTTGCCTTGAGCTGAAGAGCTCAGGAACAGCACTCAGGCTCAGAGTTCAAGCCTCACGACAGACTAAAAAAAAATAAATTTGGACCTGAGTGCTGTCCCTCAGCTCTTCAGCTTGAGCCAGAGCACCACTTCCGGCTTTTTTCTGCTTATGTGGTGCTGAGGAATCGAACCCAGAGCCACATGCATGCAAGGCAAGCACTCTACCACTGAGCCACCTTCCCAGCCCCACTCTTAACATTTTTAAAACTTGTACTTCTACCCTTGTCCTCTTTCCACTTCTGTGGGGGTCTCAAACGAGGGGTTCCAGCACCACAGTGACCACTGGGAGAGGCAGTGCAGGCTGAGAGCACCTCGAAAGCCCATGCAGAGCACTGTCCCCAAGTGACCTGGCTGCCACTCCTGAGGAACTTTTGGCAGGGCTGCTCTGCCTGACCTGACTCCGGGCTCCTGGTGTGTGAACAGCCTGCTACCCAGGGGGTTGTCACAAACCATCTGGCCAACCCTTCACCATGGCAGCTGCTGCAGGCAGCACAGATAACAAAGGAATTGGAGAAAGAACAGGCACTCGGGAAGGCCACATGCAGGCTGGTGTAGGACACGCAGTGCGCATGCCTGAGGAAGGCCCACACAGCCCCCATTCCCTGCACTGCCCTACACGCCTCTGAGCAGGCAGGCAGGGAAGGCAGGGCTGACAGCATGAGCCGGCGCACACCCAGAGCCTCAAGCAGAGGCCGTTTAAGGTAAAACATAAGCAAAGCCAGAGACGCGCGTGGCTGCACAGAGTCAGGGCGCGTGATTCACAAAACATACAACAGCAAGAATGCTAGCACACAGGAAAACAATCCTGGAGGAGGGGGCCAAGGAACCCCACTTCCTAACAAGGTGGGGAACCCACAGAACCCTATGATGCGGCAGGTGGCCTCTATGCAGTACTCAGTGGGGCAGAGGCCAGGACAGGGTTAGTTCATGGTATGACAATGTCCTGAGGAAAGGGGACAGATGCTTCTGGAAGGGGCCTTCAGGTGTCCGTGAAAGGCTGGTGGCCCTGCACGAAAACTACAGCTGTCTACCCAGGAACTGAACCTGCCACACTATACAATGCTGCTGTCACTTGGTCCTCTCCGGCAGGAGCCCCTCTTACCCCCAGGCCGTGCCAGCCTGGGATGGGCAGTGTCAGGCAGGATCAGCAGCCATGCCATCCCCCGCTCTCCCTTCAGTGTAGGGGGGCCACGTGTCCCAGCAGTTCCTGGTGCTTATGACAATTGTTTCCACTCATCTACCTTGGCAACGGCGCAGACAGCAGCAACCTGGTGCAGAAGCACGAGCTATGGACGAGTGTTTGCTCTTCACTTAAAAGGACAGACCAGGCAAACAGCACCTCTCTGTTCTTTCCAGTTTTTGTATTTGAGACAGTCTTACTCTGTAATCTCAGGCTTACAATCTCCAACTTACAATCTCCCTGCTCAGTCTCCTGAGTGCCAGGATCACAGCCATCGATTCTTCAGAGAGACGTTGGCTGGCACTGAGCCCTCCTCAGGAAGGCTGTAAGGGAGTGCAGTGAGCCACTGGCTCTCAGGAGACACTTGCCAATCAGTAAGGATTTTTCTTTTCTATAAGAAAAGTAAAGTAGGCTGGGAAGGTGGCTCAGTGGTAGAGTGCTTGCCTCATATGCATGAGGCCCTGGGTTCAATTCCTCGGCACCACATAAGCAGAAAAAGCTGGAAGTGGCGCTGTGGCTCAAGTGGTAGAGTGCTAGCCTTGAGCTGAAGAGCTGAGGGACAGCGCCCAGGCCCAGATCAACAAAAAAAGAAAAGAAAAGTAAACGAACGATACACACGCACACTCGTATTTGTCAGTCATGGGCTTGAACTCAGGGCCTAGGTGCTGTCCCTGAGCTTTTTACTCAAGGCTAGTGCTCTACTATTTTGAGCCACTGCATCTGGTTTTCTGGTGATTAACTGGAGGTAAGCGTCTCTTGCCCAGGCTAGCTTTGACTATGATCCTCAGATCTCAACCTCCTGAGTAGCTAGTATTACAGGAATGAGCCGCTGGTACTTGGCTGAGTTGGTTTCTTTTACATGACAAGGCATCTGGAGGTGGGTGGCAGCCCGGTGGGCTGGTCTCTGGGCTGAGAATGTGCAATGACTGCCGCAGCCATCACACAAGTCTGTGTCGAGAGGAAGGATCAATGCCTGCACTCCGGAGGCTGAGCAGGGAGACTGTCAAGTTTGACGCTGACCTGGGCTACAGATTAAGACCCTATCTCAAAATAAATACAAAAATCCGAAAGAAGGGAGAGGTAGCATTTGCCAGTCTGGCTTTCGGTCTCTGGCAGTGAACCCCTCCCGCACTCTGCTCCCCACCTCAGTGCTGACAACCCAGTACCCAACCAACACCAACAAATGTGCCCCCCAGAATGAGGACACCACTCACCTTCCACTTGTTTCTTCTGGTCAAGTTTCATCTTCTTTGCCAGTAATTTCTTCTCTTTTAATTTTTGGCTACAAATATAAAATACACATTGAATTTTAAACTATTTTATTGTATATTTTAGGAGACAAACACCTACATCTTAAGATTTTAACAGAACAAATACTTTTTCATTGTTCTGCTTCTCAACATTAGCAAGCTGTCTTATGAGTCAAGATCAAAACTATGGGCTGGAATGGTGGTGCACACCTGTAAGCCCAGCGACACCAGAGGTAGAGGCAGGACTGAGTTCAAAGCCAACTTGGGAGCTGGATGCTGATGGCTCAGGCCTATAATCCTAGTTACTCAGGAGGCTGAGATCTGAGGATCACAGTTTGAAGCTAGCCTGGGTAGAGAAGTCCATGACACTCTTTATCTCCACTTAAGCACCAAAAAGCTAGAAGTAGAGCTGTGCATAAGTGGTAGAGTGCTAGCTTTGAGCTTATAAAAGCTCAGGGACAGTGCCCAGATCTTGAGATCAAGTCCCAGGACTGGCACAAAAACAAAACAGAATCCAGAGGGGCTCAGGGGAGCTGAAATGTTAAGTGCAGGCCTCATATATGCAATGTCCCAAATTCAAATCCTGGAATGATGAGGTTATCTCAGAAATGATGGCATGTGTTTCTCACTCCACATCTTGCAGGGGCTGTTAAATTCCCTCAGAGCTTTAGCAAGGCATAGCAGGACCTATAATCCTAGCATCTACATCATAAATTTGAGGCCAGCCTTCAAAAGGGAACCTTACTGCACTGTAAACTTGTTCATCCACTCTGGAAAGAAGTATGGAGGTTCCTCAAAGGACTACACATAGAACTCCCCTATGACCCAGCAATCCCACTTCTGGGCATTTACCCAAATGTTCACAAAAACAAGTCCACACTAAAGCTACCAGCACAACTATGTTTACTGCAACACTATTCACCACAGCTAAGATATGGAACCAACCCAGATGCCCCTCAGTAAATGAATGGATCAAAAAAATGTGGTGTGTGTATATATATATGTGTATGTTATATATAATATATATATTATATATATATTACACACACACATACAATGCTTCCATCAGAAAGAATGACACCGCCCCATTTGTTAGGAAATGGAAAGACTTGGAAAAAATCATATTAAATGAAGTAAGCCAGACCCAAAGAAAAATAGGTCCCATGGTTTCTCTCATTTACAATAATCAGTATACGTCTAGGATAATTTTACCAGATGAGCAGAAAAGCTCAAAAGCTACGTACATATAAGATGATGCTAAGTGAAATGAACCCCAAGATATGGAAACAAAAGGTCTTTCTTTGTATTTGTTATTTTTTAATGTACTATGTGATTTTTTGTTGTTGTTTCCTTTGTATGTTCTTCCCTCTATGGTATATCCCCTGTTGTCACTGTACTTGATTTTGGTACCCTGCATCTTCTACATACATTTGTCTAATTTGGAGAGGGGAAGGGGAATAACAAAATGCTGAAAAAGGACACAGGATGACCCATTGCAACAATGATACCCCCAAGACTTTACAACTTTGGGAATGGGGCGGGGGGAGGGGGGGAGTGCGCGGCGGCGTGGAGGAGTAAGGGAAGGGAGGGAGGGAAGGGATAGTGGGAGAACAACAAGGGAAGGGGTAACAATGCTCGACAAGACATGTACTCACCGCCTTACTCATGTAACTCTAACCTCTCTGTATAGTGTCTTTACATTAAAATAAAATTAAAAAAAAAAATTTGAGGCCAGCCTGGATTACACAGCAAGACTCTGCCTTGAGAAAACAGAGGAAAAAGCCTCCTGTAAGCAAATGTGTGAATGCACACACATACCCTGATGCTCTGTAGACCTGAAGGAAGCACTGGGCCACCCAACTCTTGACTTCTAGTTGTTGACAACTAACAAAATTAAGTCTCTTACACCCACAACCCTGGCAGGAGCACAGGTGAACTTTTTTTTTTTTGAGTTGGATGTCTATGCTGCCCAGGCTGGTCGTGAACTCATGAGCTCCAGCAATCCTCCGCCTCAGCCTCCTAAGCAGTTGGGACCACGACATGAGGGACACAGGCATGTGCCCCACATGTGGCTGCGGGGGAACTCTGAGTAGGCTGGGTCATCATCCCCACTCCCATTCCCTGCTGGAGGTCCCATTGCTCCAGGACACCATGCTATCTTACCGCTTTCGCCGGCGCTTTGCAGTCTGTTCCTCTGCAGCTATCTTATTCTTTTCCAGCCGCTTCTGGAACTCTGCATCTAATTTTTGCTGCAAAAAGCCACAGCATTTAAGACAGACACACAAGGAAGCCTCTGGCCCACAGCCCTCTCCCAGGGGGAGCACCCTGCTGTGAGTCTGTAGTGGTTGCTCAGTGGAGAAGGCAGACCACAGGAAACCACCCCAGCCCCACCAACATCTCTTCCAGCACATTTCTAAAGACTGGGTGGGGCTGGGAAGGTGGCTCAGTGGTAGAATGCTTGCCTAGCATGCATGAAGCTCTGAGTTTGATTTTTCAGTACCACATAAACAGAAAAAGCCAGAAGTGGCGCTGTGGCTCAAGTTGAGCAAAAGAAGCTCAAGAACAGCACCCAGGCCCTGAGTTAAGCCTCAAGGCTGGCCAAAAAAAAAAAAAAAAGAAGAAGACGACTGGATGTGTGTACTGCCTAACTGCAGGTATTCCAGCAAATGCTCACTGACCTTCTCGGCCATGGCATCCATGTAGTCCTGCCGCTGGTACTCTCTACGGCGAAGATGCCTGTACACGTGAAACTCTCCACTGCCTGCCCCAGCACTGGAACCTGGAACCAAAACAATCCCAAGAACAGGTGAAATCCAGTTCCCAGCACAGGCCACACTTGACCAAAAGATACTAGGGCCAAAGCTGAAAAATGAAAGGGACTATGCCTGTCTGCTTTCAAGTGTGTCCCGAGGCAAGGATAGTGCCAGGCACACTGTAGGTATCATGAAATCACGTGTTACATGACTCTTGATGATGAAGTCATCAAAATTTCACGCTAAGCCAGGTGTGGAGGCTCATGCCTACATTTCCAGCATTCATGAGGAAGAGACAGGAGGATCATGAGTTCTTGCTCAGCTTGCATTACCTAGTGAGACTCTGTTTCAAAACAAACCAAAAAAAAGGCCAGGTGCTGGAAATGGAGCTCTAACCTTGAGCAAAAAAGCTCAGGTGCTGGTGGCTCACATCTATAATCCTACTTAGGAGGCTGAGATCTGAGGCTCACAGTTCAAAGCCAGCCCAGGCAGGAACGTCCAGGAGACTCTTATCTCCTGATAACCACCAGAAAACTGGAAGTGGTGCTGTGGCTAAAGTCATAGAGTGCTAGTCTTGAGCAGAAAAGCTCAGGGACAGTACCAAAGCCCAAAGTTCAAGACCCATGACTGGCAAAAAAAAAAAAAAGCTCAGGACAGGGCTCAGGCCCTGAGTTCAAGACTGGCAAAAAAAAAAAAAAGCTCAGGACAGGGCTCAGGCCCTGAGTTCAAGCTCCAGGATCAGCACCAGAAAAGGAAGGAAGGAAGGGAGGGAGGAAGGAAGTCTTTTCTCCATGACTTCACATTTAATACACTCCTAACAAGTTGAAAAGATATCCAGGATATCTTCAATGAAGAGGGAGTTACAATAATACTACATTTAGAACTATATTTTTGTAAAACATTGTTCTTTATATGAGCAGTTTTCACTTACAGATTTGTTTTGAGTGAAATGACGGTATAATTGTGCATGCCTCTACTTATTTCTAGTTACAATTAGCATAATTTACATCCATAATCCAATAAAATACCCTCCCCCTTTGTGGTACTGGGGTCTAAACTCAGGGCCTTAGCATTGCTGGGCAGGTGCTCTTACTGATAAGTCAAACCTCCAGCCTTTTCTTGCACTATTTTTGAGCTAGTACCTGGGTGTACATCTGCACTGTAATGAGCCTATTGTAGGCTTCACGGGGTAGCATGAGTCTCTAGCACCCAGCAACATTTCCATTTAGGGAATACACAAGGCATTACTTTTAATGTGGAAGGAAGAGCTATAATGCCAAACCCTACACAACTATTTTGCTGTTCTCACAACAAAATAGTAGCTCACACCTGTAATCCTAGCTACTCAGGAAGCTGAGATCTAAGGATCTTGATTCCAAGACAGCAGGAGAAAGAAAATCCAGAGACTTTTATCTCCAATTAATCATCAAAGAGCTGGCAGTGGTTGAAGTGGTAAAGCACCAGCCTTGAGGGGAAAAAAAAAGCTAAGGGACAAACCCAGGCCTCAGGTTCAAACCCCAGTACCAGTAACACCCACACACTTAAAGTTATATTTTTACACATAAACAATGGCCATTACCCATTACATCACGAACAAATTCTGGGGGAGGTCTTGGTGCCCATTCACTCATTTTTTCTGGAATTGGAACAGCTTTGTCCTACAACAATCCAAACAGGAAAGCACTTGTAAGGATAAACCTGCTAACCAAAGACTATGGAGGGCTGCTTTGCTTCTCAAAGCTGGAACTGATCCCAACACCCTCTGTGTTGGCTTTGCTTCATCCTGAACACTCTACACTTTCCAAATGTACGTTATTTTTTAGGTTAGAAATTTCCAAATCTTTAACACCTCTAAAGCCAACCTTTTCCAGTCAAAGGTGTAAGATCTTTTCTCAGCTGTTTTTACGATCTACATAATTCAGGCTCGGTCGGGAGTCGCTGGGCAGAGAAGGATTTGCACTAAGTGTCTACTCAGAGTAGAGAATACTTTTTGCTAACCCAAAGGTTCTATCTTCAGTCAAATGCTTTTGTTCAAAGAAAGCTAAACTAGGAACGGGCCGTGGAGCCCGGCGTGGTGGTGCACACCTGTAATCCCAGCTCCAAGAGTCAGGAGCATCCACTTTAACCACCCCATCTCAGAAAACAACAGAATCGACAGGTTCTAGCGGCTCTAAAGCACCAATAGGCAGCTTGCCTGGGCTCTGCAACAAGGGGAGACGTGGAGCTCACAAGCTCTGGGGAGAAAGTTAGGGTACTGGTCCTGAGTTCCTAAATGTGGTGGCGGGAAAGCGGGGCCCTGAGCACTCGAGAAACGCAGGAGCCCAGCGGCAGGCCTCGGACGGGCCGTAAGGCCCCGGCTTCTTCTCACCGGGTTTTTCATGAGCCGCTCCAGCTTGAGCTTCTGCTCTTCCGCCGCACTCTTGGGGATGACGAGCGCCTGCGGCTCCTTCTTGGGTCTTGGTGGTCGCACGGAAGCGGCTGCGGAGCTCGCCATGACAGCGGCCCGCCGGCTCCACCGGAGGAGCGCGACTGCAAAAGCGGCGCGCGCTTCTGACGTCAGACCGGCGCGAGCTCCGGGAACGCACGCGCACTCCGGGCACGCGGAGGGGGCTGGGCCGAAGCCGCACGCCGGAAGCCGGGTGCTGAATATTCATGAGCCTGAGGCCCGAGCAGTTTGTTTTGATCCGAACTGCTGGGTTCTATTTCCTGCTTCTCAGCCAATCAGAGCGGGCCTAGCGCTCGCGTCACCAGCGGCTTTTCCCGCCGCAGCGGCCGGCTTCGTGGCCGGCGGATCTCCCTCTTCCCGCTTGCATTTCTGACAGTCTCGCGTGTGTGTGTGTGTGTGTCCGCGTGCCTCGGTCTTATAGCTTATTTTTTGTCCAAGGCTGGTGCTCTACTACTTGACCCATTTCTACTTTTGGCTTTTTGATGAATAGTTGGAGATAAAGAGCCTCGTGGGCTTTTCGGGCTTGCTTCAGACCTGTCTTCAGATCTCAGCTTCCTGAGCAGCTAGGATTACAGGTGTGAGCCTCCAGCGCCCACATCTCTCTCCACCCCCTCCCGCCTTTCCTGGGGCTTAAATAGCCTGGGCGCTGTCCTTGAGCTCTTTTACCCTAGGCTAGCGCTCTACCATTTGAGCCACAGCGCCATTTCTGGCTTTTTTGGTGTGTGATTAATTGGAGATAAGGCTCCGGGACATTCCTGCCCGGGCTTCGTTCAAATCTCCATCCTCAGATCTGTCTCTTGAGAAGCTAGGCACCAGGTACCCAGCATTGCTTTGACATTTTTTGGGGGTCCGGTCATGAACTCTGGGCCTGGGTGCTGTCCCTCAGCTCTTCAGCTCAAGACTAGCGCTCTACCACTTGAGCCACAGTGCCACTTCCGGCTTTATTCTTTTTGCTTATGTGGTGCTGAGGAATCGAACCCAGGGCCTCTGGCATGCAAGGCAAGCACTCTACCATTGAACCACCTTCCCAGCCCCTGCTTTGACATTTTTATCATCCCAAAATATGCAGAAAATGAACTGAGGCCCAGTGTGGAATGTCATTAGCTCAAGTTTACCGTGACTCAAGTCTAGTGGTCTGCTCCCAGGTCTCTGAGGGCCTGAGCAACTGAATGGCTGATGGGTGGGTGGGACAAGACATTGGAGCTGTTCACATGGTGCCTTCCCAGGCCTGAGAGCACCAGAGATAAAAGGTTTTACCTACCCTGATCCCGAGAGTCATTTCCCGGCCCGCAGAGGGCAGTAAAGTCCCACCCTGAGGTCCAGTCCTTTAAGACTGGGCATTTCACTCCACCTACCTGGAGATCTGAGCTGGGCCCCTAAGGAGTAAGGTCTGTGCAAGACACCAGTGTGTTGGGGTCTGGCAGACCTAGTACTGAAACCTGGTGCCACCTATGGTGGTATTGGGGAGCAGCTTATTATGGTGGTTTCCTTACACCCAGGGTGGGCAAAGTTGCCCTTAATAATGCCAGTGTTGAAGTGATGTCTGGATGTATAGCACCCAGCATAGCACAAACATACTAGGTGTTTCCCAGGATGTGGGACTTTTTTTTCTTTTTTTTTTTTAGCCTGGAGTTTGCTCAGCTTGCTTGCTCAGCTGGCATTCTATGCCTTCACCCCACTCCCCTTTGTTTTCTTGCTGATTATTTTGGAGATGGAGTCCCTCAGATTTTTCTTACTGGATTGATCTTGAACTTCAATCTTCTAGACTTCAGTCACCTATGAGAGCCATCCAAACCCAACAATATCCCTAACCTTTTTGTTTTTTTTGACTAGTACTGGGGCTCGAATTCAGGGCCTTGAGCTCTCACTTGGCTTTTTTATTCTACCACCTGAGCCACACCTCCACTTCTGGCTTTTTGTTGGTTAAAGGGAGCTAAGGAACTCATGGACTTTTCCAGCCTGGGATGGCTTCAAACCATGATCCTCTGCTCTCAGATTCCAGAGTAGGTAGGCTGACAGGTGTGAGCTTCCGTCACCTGGAAATGTTATTAGCTTATTGTTGTGGGGGTCAAACTTGGGGCGCACTGTCCCTGAGCTCTTCAGCACTCTACCACTTTGAGCCAAGCTCCACTAGCCATTTTCTTGTGATTAATTGGAGATAAAGAGTCTCACAGCCGGGCGCTGGTGGCTCACGCCTGTAATCCTAGCTACTCAGGAGGCTGAGATCTGAGGATCGCGGTTCAAAGCCAGCCCAGGCAGGAAAGACCGTGAGACTCCTATCTCCAATAAACCACCAGAAAACCGGAAGTGGCGCTGTAGCTCAAGTGGTAGAGCGCTCGCCTTAAGCTGAAGAGCTGAAGGACAGCGCCCAGGCCCAGAGTTCAAGTCCCATGACCGACAAAAAAAAAAAAAAAGAGTCTCACAGATTTTCCTGCTTGGGCTACCTTTTAACTACAATCTTCAGATCTCAGCCTCCTTAGGTAGCTACAACTACAGGCATGAACCACCAGTGCCTGGCTTTTGTTTTTCCTGCCATTCCTGGGGCTTGAACTCAGGACCAGGGCACTGTCCTTAAGTTGCACTCTACCATTTAAACCAATGTGCCCCTTCCGGCTTTTTTTATGTGATACTGAAGAATGGAACCCAGGGTTTCATGCATGCTAGGCAATACTCTGCCACTTAAGCCACATTCCCAGCTCTTATCTTGTTTTTTGTTTGTGTTGGTCGTGGGGCTTGAACTCTGGGCCTGGGCGCTGTCCCTCAGCTCTTCAGCTCAAGGTGAGCGCTCTACCATTTGAGCCACAGCTCCACTTCCGGTTTTCTGTGTGGTTTATTGAAGATAAGAATCTCACGTACTTTTCCTGCTTGGGCTTGCTTTGAGCCACAATCCTCAGATCTCTGCCTCCTGAGTAGCTAGGATTACAGGCGTGACCCACTGGCCCTTATCTTGTTTTTTGACAAAGGGTATCAGCTACCTTTCTTCTGGCTGACCTTAAACTTGAGATACTTGCCAGGTGCTGGTGGCTCACTCCTGTAATCCTAGCTACTCAGGAGGCTGAGATTTCTGAGGATCACAGAAAACAGCCTGAGCAGGAAAGCATGAGAATCGGCTCCAATTAACCACCGAATAGTTGGACTGGCAGACACACGAAAGACCTGTATTTCTCATCTCAGCTCTGATTTTTGTTGAATTTAAGCTTCAACACCTGCATAATTTGGAGGCATATTATTTATTTATTTGCCAGTTGTGAGGCCTGAACTCTGGGCCTAGGTGCTGCCCTCAGCTCTTCAGCTCAAGGCTAGCACTCTACCAGTTGAGCCACAGCGCCACTTCCGGCTTTTTTGCTTATGTGGTGCTGAGGAATCAAATCCAGGGCCTCACGCATGCAAGGCAAGCACTCTACCACTAAGCCACCTTCCCAGCCCTGGAGGTGTATTTTTAAATGTGCAAGTATATGAGGATTTTCTAGCTATTTCCTCTTGTTAATTTCATTGCTCTTGATTTCTAGCTTATTTGAATTGTGGTAAAAGATGATCTGATTATTTCAATCCTTTGAAATGTGTTAAGTTTAGAGACCAGTATATAACTTCTGTGAATGTTTCATGTCTACCGTGGATAAACATAATGAGTTTGAACTCAGGGCCTCGTTCTTGGCTAGCCAGCACTCTACTGCTTAAGTCTTACCCCAGCCTTTTTTCACTTGCCTTTAATTTTTCAGATAGAGTCTGAAGCTTTTGTTTGGGCTCGTCTCAAGCTGCAATCCTCCTATATCTACCTCCCAAGTAGCTGGGATTACAGGTGCATGTACCATACCCCATGTCAGTTCCTAATGCCAAATTCCCTGGCTGGGCACTCAGGACCCTCTCCACCTGCTGCACCTTACACCTGCTTCCTCTCACCCCACATCCATAGTGCCAGCATCATCATGCAGGGTGTGCCTGGTCCCAGGGCTTGGCCCAGCCCTCTGTCAACACCCATCACACTGCAATGGGCCTGCCTGGCTGCCCGCCTGGCTATCCCACAAACAGTCTGGCCTAGAGCCAGACATCGGAAACACTCATTGAGAAGCAACTGAGTCCACTTTGAAGATGCTGTTGCCATCTGCCTGGCTGCTGTGATTTCCCCAGAGTCCGGAATCGGGCTTTGTGGAAGCACCAGAAGGAGTGACAGGCCTGAAGGTCTTCCTTCCTTTCCACATACATTTCTTGCATGTCCCCTGAATTCAGATTCACTTAGGAACACTGATGGAACCATGCCTGACTGCTGATCTTTTTTTTTTCAGTCACTGGGGCTTGAACTCTGGGCCTGGGCGCTGTCCCTGAGTTGTTCAACTCAAGGCAAGTGCTCTACCACTTGAACCACAGGACTACTTCCCCGTTTTCTGGTGGTTTATTGGAGATGAGTCTCATGGACTTTCCAGCCCAGGCTGGCTTTGAACCGAGATCCTCAGATCTCAGCCTCCAGAGTAGTTAGGATTACAGGCGTGAGCCACTGGTGCCCAGCCCTATCTCACTTTCTCATGTTCTGTGCCCCAAGGTCAGTACCCTGGCCTGCCTCCTTCCCATTCTGTTCTGAGGGAGTGAGCCCTCCAAGGGAGCCAGGGGGGTGGCCTCAGTCTTGGGGCTCCTGCTCAGCTAACTGGCTAGAGAGGACAAATCCTGGTGATCAGGACAGAAGGCATCACACAGGGCCCTGGCCAGCCTGTTTCTCTCCCCAGGTGCAGATGAGTAGGGGCTGGCACCAGGCCTGGCAAAGGCCAGCGTGGGTCAGAAGAGCTGCAGCCATAGTGGAAGGAGAAATCCCAAGGGGGACTGGTGTCATAGCTCTACTAAAGCCCCCTCTCGAACCCTTATCTTCTATTCGTCATATCATTGTCTCTGTTGAGACAGAGCTGGGCAGGCACCAGGCACAGTGGGCTTGGATGGCGTTGTGAAATGGCTCTGTGACAATAATCCGTGATACAAAGAGCCACTTTCCTTCCTGTGGTGCTGAGGCTCACACTTAAGAAAGGACAGCAGAGCCCAGATGTAGTCCCTAAAACAGGCTCTTTAATAAACATTTGTCTTCACTGAAGAGCTTCCTTTTACCACAGCCTGAGGCTGGGGCCTGTGGGCGCGGCCCGCCACGGGTGGGCGGTCCTACATGCCGATCGGACACAGCCTACCGCAGACAAGCAGGTCTTGCGGCCAATGGGCGGCCTGCCCCGGGTAGGCGGGCCGTTCCGCCGATAGGGCGTGGCCTACCGCAGACAGGCGGCAGTGCCGCGAATGAGCCCGGCTTGTCCCGGGCAGGCGGGCCGAGCCGCCTTGGGCCCTAGTAGAAGGAGTACTGATTCTCCACGGCGCGCGCACGGCCGGGCGCTCCCTCCGCGGGCTCATCGCTGGCCCCGGCCGCGGCCTCCAGCAGGCGCTCGGCGCTGTTGCTGCGACTGCGCGCGCTGAGCGGACCCTCGGCGGCGCGCGGAGGCGCAGGCACGGAGGCGGTGGAGGCCGACGAGGTGGACGAAGAGGAGGCTCCGGGGGCCTCCGAGGGCGAGGCGGGCGGGCAGGCGGCCGCGGCCAGGCTGGAGAAGTAGTGCTGGCCGGCGGGCTCGGCCCAGCAGCCAGGGGCCGCGGGCGCGACGCCACTGGGCGATGGCCCCGGGTCTGCAACGGAGGCGAGCTGTCAGCGGGAGCCCCGCGCCCCATGGCACCGCGCCCGGCCCGGTGTGCAGGGATCGACCTCGCTCACCCCGAGGCCGCGACTCCCTCCAGTCCCAGTACCTATTCTTGATTCGTCCCGATTCTGGGGCTTGAACTCAGGGAGGGTCTGGGGGCTGTCCCTGAATTTTGGTGCTCAAGGCTGGCGTTCTACCACTTAAGCCACAGCTCCACTTCCACGCCTTTTGGTGGTTCATTGGAGATAAGAATCTTACTGACTCGGGCTGGGAAGGTGGCTCAGTGGTAGAGCGCTTGCCTTGCATGCATGAGGCCCTGGGTTCGATTCCCCAGCACCACATAAGCAAAAAAAAAGCCGGAAGTGGTGCTGGGCTCAAGTGGTAGAGCGCTAGCCTTGAGCTGAAGAGTTGAGGGACAGCGCCCAGGCCCAGAGTTCAGGCCCCACAACCAGACCTCCCCCAAAAAAGAATCTTACTCTCCTGCCTAGGCTGGCTCTGAATCCTCTCAGCCTCTTGAGTAGCTAGGATTACAGGCATGGGCCACACACAGGGCTCACATCTGTATCCACTGATGGTCCCCCATAGCTCACACTTGCTGTGACTGATGTGACTGATGTGACTGATGTGATTGATGTGACTGAGACTGGACGTGACCCGGTGTCATCTGCCCTCAGTAGTCATGCTGGCCACCTGCGAAGTGAGTTAATCCCCTAGGCCAGGTATAGGGGCATCTTACCAGGTAGTGGGCCCTGGGCCCGGACATAGCTGCGCAGGGTGATATCAGCAGAGCCCCCAGACTCCAGTGGGATGGGGTGGGTGTGGAAGTGGCGGAGCATGTCAAGCACAGACTGGAACCACAGGTGTTGCACATGGCACTGGCCGTGGCCGTTCAGGGACAGACGAAGGTGCTGTGGACATAAGGTGGGAATGGTCAGTGAGGCAAACTCTGGCTGGCTGCCTGCCTGGGCAGTGCCGTTGGAAGCCTAGGCCTTCATGATTCCTGAGGCCAGAGGGGCTGGGTGGGGAGCTGGGGCTTTCACATGTGCCCTACTTCTGGGGGTGGGGCCACTCCTGGGTATGGGAGGAAATGGGGGGGTGACAGCTCGGCTAAAATGGAGGGCACAGATATTTGCCCCAAGTTGTGCCCAGGCTCCTGCTGTTCACCCCATCAACTGTGTCCCCCTCTAAAGACTTCAAGAGGAGCTGGGCCCTGGTGACTCAAGCCTGTAAACTAGCTACTCAGGAGGCTGAGATCTGAGAATTGTGGTTCAAAAGCCAGCCGGGAAGGAAAGTCTGGTAGACCCTTATCGCCAGGAAACCAGAAGTGGCGCTGTATCTCAAGTGGTAGAGCACTAGCTAGCTTGAACTGAAGAAATGAAGGACAGGGCCCAGGCCCAGAGTTCAAGCCCCACGACTGACCAAAAACAAAAAAAGACTTCAGGAGTAGGAACTCCCTATATGGGAGATGGGAAACTAATGCCCAGGGAGCACTTGTGTGACTGCCCCTGCTCTTCAGGAAGCTAGGGGCTGGAAGGGGGGGTGGGCAGGAAGGAGAGCCTGCCTTGCCACCTATACAGGGTGGGTTGTGAGTTCTGCCATTGGCAGGACAGAAAGTTGCCAGGAACAGTGTGCAGAACCTTGGGAACATGAATGGCAGCTAGAGCCAGGACACAGGCTGAGGAAAACTGCAGTGTGCTCAGATCTATATAGAGACAGGCCTCCTAACTGGGCAGGGTCTCTGGGGGCAGCTGGACCCCAGGGGCAGGTGTAGACAAGGCAGGTGCACCTCCACATTCTGGAAAACCTTCCAGACATATCAATTATTTGAGGGCAGAAAGAGGGAGATTGAAAAATCTCCCTTCCTTCCCTGCCAGGGCTGGGGGGGGGGGTCCATGCCGTTCCTACCCCTAACTTATCAGATAGGACAATCCCCATCATTCCGGGAGAACGGAAGCCAGGCAAGGGGAGCACAAGTTCAATGATATCTCTTGCCCATCCTGCTTTCCCTTCTTTCCAACCCTTGGCAGCCCCGGCACTGTGTGAGCCCCTGGCCTAGGCATGCATTAGACACTCCTCAGCTCCCTGGAGAGGTTGTGCTGGCCAAAAAGGAAACCACCAGCTGCCAGGGATGGCGTTGATGCTTATCACAGAACTGCTAAGGGCGGCTGCCTTCCAAGGAGGTGAGCCTAGGGCAGTGCCAGCCAGTGCTACCCGGAGAGCCCAGGGGTCATGGGGTGGTGGAGGGAGGGGGGAGTGAGGCCGCCAGGCTGGTGGATGCATACTGACCACCAGCTGCCAGCTGTGGCAGGAGACCTGGGGTGCTCCTCCCTCCAGCGGGGGCTGCCAGGAAACAGAGTTCTGGAAGGTGCCAAGGCTGGGTCTGTTTCCTTATCGGAAAAGTGGGCGGTATGGGGAGGATTCAGGGATTCGGGCGTACTGCACCATAAAACCTGGCTTTCCTGTCCTGTTAGCAGCCCTGCCTGTGAGTGATCATGGCGCACCGGGGCCATGGCTCCTTGGAGCACACCTCTGCTCATGCCCCCGTCTCAGGGCTCCGCTGCCCCCACCAGACCCCAAGCAGCCCATGTGGCACAATCCTCCAGCCCACCGGTGTCTCCTTTACATCTCTGGTCTGAGCACAGGCCTGGCCCAGAGCTGGAGCCCTGGCAGGGTTGAGGGTGAGCAGAGAAGGGGATAGGGTATTTAGAGGTGGGAGAAGAGGCAGATGGACCCTGGGGACAATGTCTCCCTGAGACATGCCAGCGACCGAAGGCCTTGCCAGCTTAGGTTCTCACACTGGCCTGGCCACCAGCTCCCCATGGCCAGTGTGGGCTGGTTCGTGGGAAGACATGCCACACCTGTGCACCTGAGCCTTGCCCAGAATCAGGGAGCCCTTGCCCGCCTCGGCTGCGCGCCCACCCTGCAGCCTGCATGCAAGCTTGCCTTGGCCTTGCCCTGGAAGTTGAAGGTCAGCACGTACTCCCCAGGCCTCGTTTCGCTTTGGCGGATCACGAAGAGGCCGTGGCTCCGGGGCCCTCCTGCCAGCACCAGCTGAGCGGCCTTGACCCGAGACAGGGTCCCGTGGAACCAGGGGTAGTTGGAGAGCTCCAGGCCCGGCTCAGCCTCGGGGTCTGGCTCCACGCCTTCCTCCCCTGGGGTGCAGGGTGACAGCATGAGGGGGTGAAGGGACAGAGAGGGCAAATAAATACATGAGCTTTTAGAACTAGGCAGAGCCAGTCCCTCACTAGTTAACCATATGAGGTAAACTGAGGCATGGAGAGGGGAAAGTCAGTTTATGAGTCAATCTGCCAGTCAGAAACACGAATCAGCAAGTCAAGCCTCAGTTTCTCCAACCTGGTTCCAATCCTCTGTATGACTTTGTATGAGCATTTTCTTTTCCTTTCCTTGTTTTCCCGAAACACAGACTCCCTATATAGCTATCCTCCTGCCTCAGCCTCCCAGGTGCTGGGATTACAGGCGTGAGCCACTCTGCCTGGCTCTACAAGCATTTTCTTTTTACTTTTTTTTTTTTCTTTGATAGTCCTGGGGCTTGAACTCAGGGCCCGGGCACTGTCCCTAAGCTTCTTTTTGTTCAAGGCTAGCACTCTAGCCACAGCACCACTTCTGGCTTTTTCTGTTGATGTGATACTGAGGAATGGAACCTAGGGCTTCATGCATGCCAGGCAAACACTCTACCACTAAACCACATTCCCAACCTCTACAAGCATTTTCTATGGCACCCAGGAGCCTGGTGCCCAGATGTAGGATGAAGGGAGTGTTCCAGGCTCCGCAAGGGTTCTAGGGGGTGCCATGCTCCCTGTGCCAGCACAGGGCCTGGAGGGGAGGCAGGGGGGCCCCTGGGCACCTGCACTGCTGTCATTGCCTCCGCTGCCGCCTGGGGACTGCAGGGTCTGCAGGAAGGTCTGTAGTGGGACGTGGAGCAGGGACTCTCCAACAGTGTCTCGGACCCGGCCATGTGGGGCAGTCACCACGGCTGCCGCTGTCTCTGGGGGCCGCGGCGGGTCTGCGGGTGAAAAGCATGTCCCTTGATCTGTTCACCTGCATGTCCACCCCTCCATCTCTGGCCCCAACTCTTCTGGCCAGCTCTGCTCCCACCTACCTTCCGTCAGGAGCTCACAGCTGCAGGAGGCCACACGGCTGGCCAAGCAGCCTCCCTGGGAGCAGGCCACCTCGAGGTCTTCCTCACAGTCACTGTGCGGGTGACAGGGTACAACACATCGGGTCATGGGGCCTGCGCTGCTCGGAGTGCCAGGCCCCACCCTGGGGTCACGGTCATTCTGTCTCTCTCTCAACAGCCTCTGTGACCACCGTGTGACCAGAGACCACCAAGTGCCATAGGTGCCCCAAGGCTGCAAGATCTGAAGCCAGGTGTGGTGACTCATGCCTACAATCCCAGCTACTTGGAGGCTGAGATCTGAGGATCAAGGTTGAAGCCAGCTGGGCAGGAAAGTCTGTGACTCTGATCTCCAAGATGCCAGAAGTCGAGCTGTGGCTCAAGTGGGAGAGCACCAGCCTTGAGGGGAAAAGCTAAGAGACAGTGCCCAAGCCTTGAGTTCAAGCCCTAGTACTACCACACAAATAAAATCTCTATCCACTAACTCTGATTGCCCAGCACGCCCCTGCCCACCTGGGGCCCTGGTATCCATCGGTCCTGCTGGCTCTGGAAGTCTGCAAAGCGAGGTGCAAGGTTCAGGCTCACAAGGGGCTGGAAATGGTTTATAGCGTGGATGGTCAGCAGGCTAGCTGTGGAAGTTTCCACGGTGGGTGGGCAGGGCCAAGCTCACTGGCTTGGAACTTTAACTGTGCTTCTTAAACGGACTTGTTCATTAGAAAGCATGACCCCCCACCCCCAACCCCCGGGCAGGTTCACACTGAGAACCCAGGTCTCCCCAGGCCCTCAAACGTCTGGCCCGGGGATCTCTGACTGCACACAGCTGCCCCAGGCACTAATGTCCCCACCAAGTCCATCTGTTCGACCCTCTTTTTCTTGTGTGTACAGCAGTAGTAGGGTTTGAACTCAAGGCCTCACACTTGTTCAGCTGGCATTTTACCACTTGCACTATACCTCTAGCCTCACTTTTGGCTAGTTAATCTAGAGATAGGGTCTGGGACTGAACTCCTATCTCAGCCTCCTAAGTAAGCTAGTGCTATAGGTGTGCCCAGTTCTGCTTTTTTGGGGGGTGGTATTGGGGACTGAACTCAGGGCCTTATGCTGGATAGACAACTGCTCCACTTGGCCATGCCCATGGTCCCTTGGCTTTTAGTTTGTTTTTAGTGAGGGTCTTACAGTCTTGCTGGGAGCTGTGATTTATCTAGCTCTACCTCTGGGTAGCTGGGATTACAGTGGTGCTCCCCTGCACCTGGCTTTGCTTGGTTTTGTGTGTGTGTGTGTGTGTGTGTGTGTGTGTGTACATATGTACCAATATCAGAGCATGAACTCAGGACCTCATAGTCTTGCTCATAGTTTCTTGCTCATAGCTGGTGCTCTATTCCTTGAGCCATACTTCCAGTCTAGCATTTTGCTGGTTGGAAATGGAATCTCACTAGCTTTTCTTCCCCAGGCTGATTTTGAACCCTGCTCTTCCAGGTCTCAGCTTTTTGAGTAGCTAGGATTACAGATGTGAGACACTGGCACCTGACCATCAGCTTTGGTACCTGGTGGGAGGCTCGTACTTAGGCTTTGGGTCAGGTGTGCTCCTTACCTGTGGCCTTCTCTGGGCTGAGCTGGGGGCCGCTAAGTAGCCTCTTGTCACCCGTTGGGCTCCCCCATCAGAGCCCATCTGCCAGAAGTTCGAGACTCCCATAGTGAGGACAAACATGCCCACCTTTCCTGATTCCCAAGTTCTCTGGGGTTAGCAGAGTGGGGCTGAGGCCCAGAGAGGACCTGATGAGAATGGCGCCTGCCATGTCCGGGAAAAGGAGCAGCACCCCCTCCATCCCCATCCGGGAGCTATGCGGTACTCACCCAGGATCCACACAGCCCTGGATGTCAGCCACCCACGAGTGCTTCTGCAGGGAGTCAATGGTCTCCAGGATGTACTCGGCTCCATTCTCCACCTGTGGAGGGGGCAGTGCTCCAACCTCCACCCCCTGGGGGGGCCTCCCACCATCACCCCATCTTCCCTGTCATCCACCCCATCATCAGAGATGACAGCCCACCTGAAGATGAGGTCCAGCCCCACTCCACCCCCATATCCTCAGGGCCCCTTCTGCTGGCTGGGGAGGGTGGCCAAAAGTCCCTGGGTCCTTCACAGATTGGGTTTAAGTCAAGAGGGGGACAGGTGGCTCTACACACTGGGTCAGGGGGTTCAAACCTTGGGGACTAGAATTTCACCCCAGAGAAGCCAGGACAACTGCCCCACTGTATGGGGCACTCTGGAGGGAGGGAGGTCCCATACCGTCCTTATTCAGAGGCCCAGGAAGGCCCGGAGCCATACAGCAGCTACCTGGCTGCATTAGGATCTGACCCTATCTTTTTTTTTTTTTTGTTGTCGTCGTTGTGGGGCCTGAACTCTGGGCCTGAGCGCTGTCCCTCAGCTCTTCAGCTCAAGGCTAACACTCTACCACTTGAGCCATAGCACCACTTCCGGCTTTTTTCTGCTTATGTGGTGCTGAGGAATCGAACCCAGGGCCTCATGCATGCAAGGCAAGCACTCTACCACTAAGCCACCCTCCCAGCCCTCTAACCCTATCTTTGAGGTATGATGTCCCTGTTCTCAGCTTCCTGTCCTGTGCCTCTGTCAAAATGCACTGTCACACTGGGAGGGTCCTCGGAGACCCCCTTCCATGCCTGTCCAGACAGATGGGGAAACTTAGGCCCACAATGGGATTGGCAGGCGCATCCCTCTGCCTTGGGGCTTTTGCCTATCAGCTGCCCAGGGTCCACCCAGCAAGTGGGCAAGGCCATGTCCTCAGCCCCAGCCTGGTATAACTTGGGGCACAGGGCTGGCAAGGTTGCCCAATGAATAAGGGAGTTTATGATTAAGTAGAGCTGGGTGGGAACATAAGGCTGGGCAGGGCCTGGGAAGAGGGCTGGGTCCCCCCCCCCGCCCCCGCCCCCCACACACATCCCAGGGGACTCAGCCTGGCAAACCCTGCTGCAAGCAGGTGTACCCAGCAGGGCCTAGCTAGTCGCACTCCAGTGCCCTGAGATGGGGCATCTGTATTTGCTACAAGCTGGCCACCAGCTTTTGCCACGGGGTGGGTGTGCCTGACTGTGGTGGGAAACAGGAGGGGAGGAAGTGAAACTTTGATGAGTCCCTGGGAGGAAACAGGAAGGGGCCTGGGACCCACAGCTCCACTGCTCAGCTGGAGACGAAGGCCCTTGCTATGAGCTGGGTGCCTGTCATGGCATCCTAGGTCTCCTCCCCGCTCCTGGCTGCTGTGGGGTCCACTCCCTCCCAACATGGCTGCTGCCACCCAGAAAGTCATGGCCTGGAATAGCCAGGCTGTCGTTAGGGTTTAGGGGAGCTCACCTTGAGCACGAACGTGTTGTCCTTCTCAGGCATCTCCAGGGGCATGGTGGTCCGCACCTCCATGATGGCCGAAAGGGGGATGCTCACCTTTGGCCTGGAGGCCTGCAAGGCCAGAGGGGGATGGTGAGCGGCTCACAACACTCATCTGCCCTTCCCAGCTCCCAAGGTCAGAACGGCCTTCTGCTTAGACCCCAGAGGCCAACCTGGCATGGAGGTACACCCTTAGTTCCTGGTTGGGCAAGTTGAAGGAGTGTCTCCACCGTCTCATGACAAGCATGAGTCCCAACCTGTGAACCCCACTTGGGCTGCCCACTGACCAGTTTTTTCCCCTCTTTTAGGTTTTTTTTTTTTTTTGTGCTGGTATGGGGGATTTGAACTCAGGGCCTGTGTGCTCTCCTTACATTTTTCACTCAAGGCCAGCAACTCTACCACTCAAGTTACAGCTCCACTTGAAGCTTTTTGATGGTTAAATGGATTTAAGAGTCTCACAGACTTTCCTGCCTGGACTGGCTTGGAACCTTGATTCTCAGGTCTCAGCAGGTGTGAGCCAACAGGGCTCCACTTGGCCTTGGCTCCTATTCTTGACCTTGACCCACAGTAAGACATGCATTTAACTGTGTCCCAAGGCACAGCTGGGCAGGTAAAAACATCTGCAATAAACATTTCACTGGACAGCATTTACCCTTGGTATGCATCCTATTTCTTAGTCTATTCTAGTACACTAAAAACATGGGAAACCAGAGCCAGTGGCTCACAACTGTAATTCTAGCTACTTAGGAGGGAGAGACCTGAGGATATACTTTGAAGCTAGTCTGGGCAGAAAAGTCCATGAGACGCTTATCTCTAACTACCCAAAAAACTGGGAGTGGAGCTATTGTATAAGGGTAAAGTGCTAGCCTTGAGAAAAAAAAGCTCAAGGAGAATGCCCCGGCCCTGAGTTCAAGCCCCAGGACTGGCACAAAAAAAAAAAAAAGCTGGGCTCCAGGCTGGTGCACAGGTGCAATCCCAGTACTCTGGAGGCTGAGGCAGGAAGGACTGAGTGCCAGGATAACCTGAGCTACACAGCAAAACCCCAAGGGGTAGGAGATGTGGTTCTCTCAGTGGAGAGAACTAGCATGTGCAGGCCCTGGATTCACAGCATCAGCACTACGAGGAGAAAAAAAAAAAAAAGCCAAGGGCTGGGAGGGTTGCTCAGTGGTAGAGCGCTTGCCTTGCATGCATGAGGCCCTGGGTTCCATTCCTCAGCACCACATAAGCAGAAAAGGCTGGAAGTGGTGCTGTGTCTCAAGTTGGTAGACTGCTAGTCTTGAGCTGAAGAGCTGAGGGACAGCACCTAGGCCCAGAGTTCAAACACCACAACCACCACAACCACCACCACCACCACCAACAACAACAACAATAAAAAGCTGAGCCAGGCGCTGGTGGCTCATGCTTGTAATCCTAGCTACTCAGGAGGCTGAGATCTGAGGATCGAGGTTCAAAGCCAGCCCGGGCAAGAAAGACTGTGAGACTCCCACCTCCAATAAACCACCAGAAAACCAGAAGTGGCGCTGTAGCTCAAGTGGCAGAGTGCTCACCTTGAGCTGAAGAGCTGAGGGACAGCGCCCAAGCCCAGAGTTCAAGCACCATGACCGACCCAAAAAAAAAAAAGTTTGAGAGACTCTGTCTCCAAAATAATCAACAAAAAGCAGGGCTAGAGATATTGTTCAAGTGGTAGAGTACCTGCCTACAAAGCGTGAGATGCTGGGTTTAAACTTCAATACAGAAAAAGAAAAGAGCTGAGAATGTGACAGTGCTAGAGTGCTTGCCTAGCATGCATGAAACCTTGGTTTGATTCCTCAGTACCATTTACACAGAAAAAGCCAGAAGTGGTGCTGTGACTAAAGTGGTAGAGTGTTTGCCTTGAGCTAAAGAGGGACAGTGCCTAGGGCCAGAGTTCAAGCCCCACAACCAACAAAACAACACATGGTCTCCCTGATATGCAGATGCTAAAGCCAAAATGCAAGGAGATATGACAAAGTAAACAGGGCTCAAGAAGCAAAGGACTTCTACTCATTTTGTCATTGCTAAATGACTCCATGTTTTGACCACATATATGGTATATATATGCGTGCAACTGAGGGAAGCTAGGAGGACACAGAATCAGAGGGAAACGGGAAAACATACAAAAGAAGAGCCCATCAGCTGCATATAGATGAAAATGAACTAAGCAACTCAAAGGCAGCAATGGGAGGGAGGGAATGAGAGGGAAAGAGGGAACAGCTTACACTAAGCAAAAAGAAAGGAATGTAAATATCACCTGATGTGGGAGAAATAGTTGTATTGTCAAAGCTCATAGAATTCACAAACGTTATAGACCATGATAATGACAATGTGCCTTGTGAAGGTTAAAATGTGTTTTGTGGCTTTAAGTATCAATATTCCACAACACTGTGAAATACGTGAAGTTTATATACTCATCTAGGTAATCTCAATAAAAAATTTTTAAAAAAGAAAAAGAAAAGGAAAGACAGCCTCCTGGCTCGCATTCATTCTCTGAAGTGAGGCCTGGCGCTCATGTCCCAATATCACCGCACAGTTCACCCAAGGTGGGCTGGCAGTGTGCCATGGGAAGCATGCTCAGGGCCTTGTTCTGGGCTCGTGTCCTGGTCCAGAGACCCCTAGAGAGGCCCAAGATGGGGCTTCCTGGCAGGGCTTGGACTCTAGCACAGGGACTTTCTCAGAAGGAAAAGGGCGGGCGCACGGTGTACAGGCAGTAGGAATTCCTGGCAGGCCTGAAAACTTTTTTTTTTTTTTTTTTTTTTTTTTCATGGGGCTTGAACTCTGGGCCTGGGCGGCTGCCCCTCAGCTCTTCAGCTCAAGGCGAGTGCTCTACCACTTGAGCCACAGCACCACTTCCAGCTTTTTCTGCTTATGTGGTGCTGAGGAATGGAACCCAGGGCCTCATGCATGCAAGGCAAGCGCTCTACCACTGAGCCACCTCCCCAGCCCCACCTGGCCACTCTTCAGCAGGCACAGGGCTGGGATTGGGGTAGTGATAGAAAGCCTTGACTGCAACTGGGGGGCCACCATATAGGCCTGGCCTGGGACCTTGGGCTCTGGTCCTTGGCCTGGTATCTGAAGCCCTCTGTCCTGGCCTCTAACTTGTCCTGCCCAGCTCCTTGCAGGGGCTCCTGAAGCTCAACCTGTTCAAATTTACATTCAGTCCTGCAAATATGGTTACAGGTTTCCTGGTGTGCCAGGAAATGCCTAAATTGGCAGGCGTTTGGACGATGGTATGGACAGTTCCACTGCTTTGACAGTCCTGGAGATTGAACTTAAGACTTCATGCTTGTTATGGAGGTGCTTTACCACTTGAGCCATACCTCCAGTCCTTTTTTGCTTTCAGATAGGATCTCTTGATTTCTGCCTGAGCCAGCCTCAGAATATCCTCCTCCTACATAGCTATGCCTTCCACGTACCTGGGATCAACGGGCATGTACCACTGTGCCAGGCTTGTTTGTTGAAGATGGGGTATCACTAACTTTTGGGGGGGGCTACACTGGCCTCAAATAGCAATCCTTCCATCTCTGCCTCTTCCTGAATATCTGAGATTACAGGCATGAGCCACTATGCCTGGTTTTCATTGCTTCCCAGACCCTAAAGGCTGGCCTGGCGTAGGGCCATGAGGGGACATGGAGTCTCTTCCTGCAGTGGTGAGAGGTCAGGAAGCCAGAGACTTGAGGGGGGACATCAAGGGCTGTAAGAGGAAGTCTAGGGATGTTGGGAAATGGTGCCTGAGCCCACACCCCCCCAGCTCCTGATTGCTCCCAGGTGCAGCTAGCTCCCCTGGGCCAGGGCAGATCTGCAAGGGAGTGTCAATAAGGGTGCTCTAGGGACTCCTTAAGTCAGGGGCCAGTCTCCTGGGACCAGGCACATTCGGAATCCCGAGCCAGGAGCCAGGGCTGGGACCTGTCCCCAGGGTGGTGGCATTGAGAGAGGGTGGGACTTTTAAGAGGTAATTGCTAGTAGACAGTGGTTGGATCCTTCAGGATACTAAGCTGGGAAGAGATTAATGTAGTTCTCAAGGGAACCTAGCTAGTTGTCTGGAGAGTGCGTTGTTGTCATGTGAGGTTACTACGTACTTACACAAGCCCATTTCCCTTCTTCCCCTCTGCCACGCTGAGGTCAGCCCTGACCTTCAGAGGCCAAGTGCATGGGGCTTCCCGACCCCAGACCTTAAGCTTCCAAAGCAGAGTGAAACAGACCTTGTTTCTTAATGCAATATCCACCTCAAGTATTTTATTATAGCAACAACAAGAAAGCCCCAATATAGCTGGGGGCAGATGGCTCACGCCTATAATCCTACTTACTCAGGAAGCTGAGACCTGAGGATCGCAGTTCAAAGCCATCCTGGACAGGAAAGGCCATGAGACTTATCTCCAACAAACTACTCAGAAAAAGTTGGAACTAGTGCTGTGGGTCAAGTGGTAGAGTGCTTGAGTTGAGCAAAAAGAAGATCGGGGACAGCATCCAGGCCCTGAGTTTAAGCCCCAGGACCAGCAAAAAAAGAAAGGAAAAATAAAAAGCCTAATACTCCAGGATGTAACATACTGCTCTTCTGTCACATCACTCACTCCTGAGTGCCAAAATATGCTCTAACCCTTGCCAGAAAATAAGGCCAGGTGGGAGCAAGCTAAGAAGCCTCTGCACTTCCTCAAAATTGGAAGGCCCACTGGCCCCTCAGAAATCTCTGGGTGGAGCTGGAAGGCTCTGCAGGGATCAATGGAGGGGACGCCAGAGCCCGGCTAGCCGCTCCCCACCCCCCACAGCATATATGGCTGTTGAGAGACTGCAGCTGTGACTGCCACTTACGGAGGGGCGGTCTTGCTGTCTGCTATGGGTCTGAGGAAGTTCAGCCTGGGATGTGTCTCAGGGATTTAAGGCGAGCAGCTTGGGCTGGCACAAAGCCCTGGGGTTGGGGGCACAGCTCTTCAAGAGGTGGAGAGCACCTCTTCAGGCTCTGTGGGCTGGGTACCTCCCCAGGCTTTGAGGATCTCACATCTGGAGGAGAGGCAGGGAGGAGCACGTGGAGATCCCAGAGGACGGAGGGAGCTGAAACGGGTGCCTAGAGAGACGGAGGGAGTGGACCCCAGGATAGGCAGGTGCTGGGGTGTCTCCCGCTGCAATGCCAGAATGAGCCTCCAGTGCACAGGGGCTCCACACCCTCACGCCTCTCATCTCCACCTCCCATTCTGATGTCAATATTAGGGCTTGCACTCAGACCCTGGGTGCTGTCTCCTAGCTTTTACACTCAAGGTTAGCACTCTACCACTTGAGGCCCAGCTCCAGTTTTGGCTTTTGGCTGGCTAACTGGAGATTAAGAGTCTCACTGAGTGATGATAGATAGCTCACACCTATAATCACAGCTATTTAGGCGGCTGAGCGCTGAGGATCGTAGTTCAAAGCCAGCCTCGGCAATATAGTCTGTGGGCCACTAGAAGTGGCGCTGTGGCTCAAAGCTCTAGAGCTCTTGCCTTGAACAAAAGAACTCAGGGACCGTGCCTGAGAGTTCAAGCCCCACCACCACAAATGATGACTGGATGAAGATTCTTACATCTCAGCCTCCTGAGTACTTGGTGGGAACACCAGCACCCGGATCCTCTCCTTTTTTGGGGGGTGGAGGTGGGCAATCCTAGGCCTTGAACTCAGGGCCTGGGCACTGTCCCTGAGCCTCTCTGTGCTCAAGGCTAGCACTCTACCACTTAAGTCACAGCACCAGTTCTGGCTTTTTGTTTCTTTGGGTCTGAGGAATCGAACCAGGGCTCCCTGCACGCTAGGCAAGCACTCTACCACTAAGCCACATTCCCAGCGCCCCGCCCCCCACCTCATTCTTGAGCGCCTCAGGGTGGCCACCGGTGACAGTGGGGGGCTGCGGCAGGCTCTCGGGAGGTCTGGGGACCAGCAGCCCCAGTCCGCAAAGCAGGCGGGTTTGCAGGAGACCCCGCGGTGCCCCTTGGGCTCAGATGGCACAGAGAGGCGGGAGCCGGGCACCCTAGAACCCCGCCCCGGGTCCCCCCAGCCCGTTGCTCACCTTGGGCGGCACGAAGAACTCCAGGCGGAAGCGCTCCCCGGCGGCGGCGCCCGCCCTGCGCAGCAGCAGAC